CTGTTCGTTAGCCTGTGAGGGTATCTAGGACACCTTCTGGGCAGTAGAAGGTATAAGGAGACCTTAAGGAGTTTGGTTAAATCCCTTTGATCTGATGTAGCCTATGTTGAAGTGGTGTATTGGGCTTCTAGGTCCTGTGTTTTGCTCTCTCCCATTTCTTCTTCCTCCCCACCCTTAAGCCTTGGCTGATTTGATTCAGTGTGGTGGTTAGTGCTGATCAGACATGCTCATGTGACCCTCAGCACCAGCAAGCTAGGCCTGTCAGGAAACTTCTTGTCTGTGCCTGCTCATCATCTTCAGTTCACACACAGGCATCACACACAGGAGTCCTCAGGCCTCACAGCATCTCAGACATCCAGATGGGTTGAGAGTGGCATTTCCTGAATATCAGTTTTTGAATGGAAGCAGTAGCTTAACATTTCATCTTGAACTGCACATGACAAGTAATGCTGTTCAGACCAGTGTGTTTTACTGAGGTTGACATGACTCCTGCAGGTATAAAGGTATTTTTCTAATCTGTATTTAATTTTGGGGTTTGTGTCTTAAAGTGTATCCAAGACTCAATGAAAATAGATGAAGAAGATAAAGAGGGAGTAAAATCTGAAAATAGTAATTCTGGCGCTGAAAGTAATGTGAAGGATCCTCCTCCAAATCCATTAGAAAAATACATGAGAATAATTCAGCAGAGGAGAGAGCAGGAACTGGCAAACAAGGTGATTATTCTCAAAAACCAGGTCTTAAAAATATTACTGACTGAATTTTTGTTTTGAAAAGGATGCTTAGAATGAAAACAATATTACATTGTCATTTTTTCTTCATTTAGAACCTTTATGTAACAACCTGCAGAGCAGTGTTTGGATTTACATTGAATAAGTCTGTTCATCCGAAAGAAAACACATGGAAAAATTCCTTCTATAAGGGTGTTTGTTCTGATGTCCTCCTGGTGTGGGATTTGTTAGCTTTGTTTTTTAGGGCAGTATTTAAATGGCCTCAATTTTTATTTTAAACTGTGTTTAAATACAGTTTAAAGCTACATAGGTCAGTTTGTGTTGCACAGACACAACTGATAGGACTTTATTCTGGCAAAATGGAAAATTTGACTTTAAAGAACAGGTATGGGTGGACATTACTTCACTGAAGGAATGCAGGATGCTTTTGTTCAGACATGATCCCAGTCTGAATCTCCAAAGTGTCATTATTCCAGGTGCAATGTGGCATTTGTAGAAATAGGGTTGGTCCTTTGTAAGATTTTTATTTTCAGTTAGGTGCCTTAAAAATATAGATATTATTATTAGAATTACTTAAAGTTTGACTTAAGAACCAGGTATATAGTGTATTTCCTTATTGGTTACCAGGATTCAAAAAAAGAAGAAATAGGAGAAGGATCACTTTCAGAGGGACTTCTGTCTAGTGAAAAGGATGACAGGTAAGGTTCATGTATTTATCACTTCTGTTATTCCATATTAAATAATATTAACTATAATCACTACATATTATTGCTACTCCAAATTTATAAATAGTTATAATACGAATTATGGTTGAGAGACATCTGCCTCCTTAAAAAGCAAAATAAATTAGTAATCCAAAGCAAATATGTTGGAAGAATTGACAGTCTTTCCAATACATGCAAGTTGGGCACTGCATGGAATTCAGGTCTGGGAGCTGCATTCAGTGATCTGTTTCAGTAGCTGTGACAGTTAAACTTTTTATCTGCAACTAAGCAGCATCCAAATCCCCTCACAGTGAGTATAAGGGATTCTTCTTGGGTGTGAAGGTTTTTCTGCACTGCACTCTGGCCTCAGTCTTTGGCTGCCTGCACTGAGTTACCACAGCCTGAGCATTTCCTCTGGTTCTCTGTAGACATTGAGGAATAAGGATATGTAGGTTTTAGTTGCTTGTGAGGGGGAAAAAACCCCCAAAGAAGCCTCTATCAAATCTTTCTGTTTATTTGAAGATGTGAACTGGAAATGTGCAGCAATTAAAAGGCTCACCATAATTGTTAGATGGTAAGATTACTTTTTTTTGCTGTGAATGTGGTAAGAAAGACACTGGAACAGGTTACCCAGGGCCATGCTGGATGCCTCAACTCTGGCAGTGTTCAAAGCCAGGCTGAGCAAACTGGTCTAGTGGGAGGTGTCCCCTCCCAGGCAGGAGGGCTTGGGACTAGGTGATCTTTAAGGTCCATTCCCCCCTTGACATTCTCTGAGTTTATTATCTGTGCCTGTAAATTGCTGTTGCACACAGCAGACTCTGCCCTGGTGCTCCTGAATTGGTGCCAGTACAGTGTTGTTTTCACTGGGTAAGCACTACAGAAGCTGCAGATAGGTACTTCTGCTTTTTGAGAGAGAAAAGATGGCTTCTGGTTACCAAAGGCCCAAATCTTCACTCTTAAAGGGCTGGATTATTGCCATCAGCTCACTGAAACAGCAAGAGAATTGCAGCAGAGGCAGTCTCAACTTTCTTTTTAAAATGAGTATTTGTATTTAAGACTATCTGCGACTCATACCACTTTCTTCCCCTCCTGTTGTCAATACAGTGCTGGAGGTATATCTCATGGAGACATGGATGAAAGCTTCTGGTGAACTCCTGATTCTTAAATGTTTATTATAGGAAAGATGTTTTTAAGGCAGCTTTCTGCCTGTAAAAGTTGTAATAAATGTTAGGCACCAACATTGCCGGCTCTGTAATGAAAAATTAATAAAGCTGAGTTTGAGGTGTCTCATCACTTCAGTCATTGACTTCAAATGGTGAGTCCTGATGTGTTACTAATCCAGGAGGAAGCTCTTGGGTAGGGTGAAAGGACAAAACACTGAACAGAAACTGTTAGGTAGATTTGTTTTGGCCTGAATTCCTATAAACTGTGACAGCTTTCCAAGTGGTGCCCCCACCCCCCACCCCTTCTCTTCCAAGTGCTACAAAGTGTGGGTGAAAGTAACTGTGTCATCCTCAGTAAATGCAGTCATCCTCACGTGCTTTTAAAGGTGTCCTGTGGAGACACGTGGCTTGTGCAGCTTCAGAGCCCTGAGTGTGAATGTTCCCCTTCTGTAGCTATGGCAAGGGCAGCAACCACTTTCTTGTGTATCACCTTGTTGGTATTAACCAGCCCAGAACGGAGAGATTAAAATAAAAATGCTATTTAACTCATCTTTATTTAAGCTTTGTATTTTGTAGGTAGATTATAGGCAAGATCATTAAACTTTATTTACAGTATAAAATACAGTAGTTTTTAATCAATGAAGTAATTTTGGGTGGCAGCATATATTACAACTTGCACTGCATTTGAGGCTGCTCATCTTGACCTAACTACAAGAATATGAAGCCAAGTTTGACAGAATTTAGGGGCAAAAAACAAAGCTCTGTCTTGAATTCATTGGATGTTGCAACACAGTGTACCAAAAACGTGACAGATACAAACTTTGCTTTTTGAAACGAAGCTACAATGTGATGTGGTGGCTAGTCTAATTTTACATGCTGCTTAAGATGCTGTTGCAGCCATGTTGGCTTTTACAAAATTTCTGAGAGACTCCTCCTGTTCTATGGTGGGAATGGGACAGGGAGTGCTTGTTGCATTATGCTGGCCTGGAACAACTACCACTACTTCATGCTAGACACACTCACTGCCTTACCACGCTGCAACGTGCACCTACAGGGCATCCCCTTCCCCGGGCAGGAGGAAGTGGGCACTACAGAACACAAGGTGTTTCACTTGGGATAGGACATAAAGCCTAGAGATGCACTGCCATGGAGCAGCTGTGGGTCTGTTTTCAAATAAGCGTACACAAGTGTTGTCTATTATCTACAAATATTTATTTTAACACTTGGATGTAACTACAGGAAGCCCTTGGCACTGATAGAAAATATTGATTCACTGTTAGGTTACAAAAATTTATACATAGCAAAATTTAATGCTCTTTACATAAAAATATTAGACTACTTAAACAAAACTTCAAAAACTCCCAGTAATAGCTACACTGAATTAGAAAAGAATTAGGCTTTAAGACACTGCCTCCATTATTACCCTTATGCAAACACTGGGCTAGAACATCACCTGCATTGCTGTAGAAATGTCTCCTTCATGCAACAGGTAAGAACATACACTAGGCTATTTTGTCATATTTGCTCTACATTGATCAACTTTGCCCCTTTTTTGAAACTGTCAAATTAGACTTCAATATTTAACAAGAAAAATTATATTTGAAGTTAATACCCCTAAAAAATGCCTTTTCTCTTAATACTGACTTGAAGGAATTTGTGCTTCCTTTGATGTATATTCAGCAAACAGTCAAAACTATCAAACCACACGTCAGCTTAGCAGGGGTATGACTTGAATATTTAATTTTTTCAATGAATGATGTATTTTCACTTTTCCCCCCAACATTTATATATATATATCATATAGAACAAACACCAAATATACCATCACTAATACTCAAGATATCACTGAATGCTTCTGAAAAAAAACATTAATTAGAAGGCAGACTTCTATGGGAAATGACTTTAAAATGGCACCAGTTTGTTTGTCGTTTTGTTATTTTTTCTGAACACCACGTTTGTTTTCTTAGTGTGCTAATTAATTTGTAAAAAGGAAAACACATAAGCACTGACTATAAATTTGCTAAGCACCAAGATAGAGAAAGGTGGACATCCTGTATTATATTTTTTTATGGCTGTATTTTTTATTGTCTGTGTAAAACTCTGCAAACTCTCTCATCTGCTCATTTGGAATAGTCAGATCAGTGTCATTTTAATAAGGTAACACTTTTCACTTGCTTAAAATGTAGGATAATGGTCTCCTGCCACTATATAAATGCTAAGACATTTATAGAAAATAAATATTAAGGCAAAGCTGACATTTATTTTCAAAGAAGGGGATCATTATCCAGATCCAGGGATCTACATTCCATGAAAGAGTTAATAAAAAGATTAAAACTTACTTGGGACATCTGCTCGACACTCAGGTAAGCACAGGGACGTGACAGCTTCATCACAGAAAAGCATGGCACAAGAGTGGAGTGCTGCTCCTGCCTCCCAGGTATGGGGTGTTCCAAGACAGCCCCGTTGCAACTTGGGGGATGCTGCAGCTGTGCCATCACATAAGCATGAGCTTATGTCAGAAATCCCATCCGGCCACAGGTTCCTTTGGGAGGTACCAAATCACAGGCTGTGATGTGCCTGTGCCTGAGGTCTGCACTGAGAGCTACTGCCTGCTGGTTTGGAGCACCTGCCAGGGCTTTGTGCAGGATGTCATGCTGAAGAACAAGTCAAATATTAAATACCAAAAGTCTCAAAAAGAATAATTTGGTCACTTTTTGTAAAGTGTTGCCTTTTAAAATGCCTGGAATAAAACCTCCATTCTCTGTGTGAAAGGATGGAAGATTACCCACGGGAAGATTTCCCTATGAAAGTTTTCCAGGAGCTGGAATGTGAACCTTTTGCACTTCTCTCTAATTTTGTTTGGTAGACACACATCTGTACTGCAGAGCAGCTATTTGCTGATTTGTCAGAGCTACAGAACTCTTCTGCTGAATTACTGTGGCAAACATTTATGTGTAAGAATTGAGTTGCTCTTTTGACCGAGACTGGATATCCTGAAGCTCCTGCTCTTCTTTTGCTTTGATATCTTGGTAGGCCTGCATTTTGCTTGCATCCTTTAAGTAGGCCCAGTTAGAAGACAGTATCATGAGGAAGTGGATCTGGAAGAGAAGGGTGAGCATGATGGCGAGTGAGCATGTCAAGAGGCAAAGCAAGCTGCTAGTTAGATTAATAGACGCTCTTTAAAATAACAACCAAAACCAAAAGTTATTCTACGTTAATAAGCATTCTGTTATTCAAACAAGCACAGAGGCTATTTTCAAAGATCTCTAGAATTTGGCATGCTAATAATCCAGTTGGTTATTCACAATTTAGAGAAGTTAGTATAACAATATTAAAATGAGCTACAGAGTTGTACGGATCAATTAAAATGCAGACTGCGGGGGGGAAGCAGGAAAACAGTTTTGACCGTGGCAATATATGTCATCTGTAAACTAGGAGGTGCTCAGAAGAACTGCTCTCTAAGGTCGTGGTGTTTATGCATATCCAAGCCCAGAGCCCGGTGGGTCTTTTCCCCCAACAAGCAGATGAGAATTCCACCCTCCCCCTGGAAAAAAACCTGAAACTGTGAACAGTTTTATTTATGCGAACAAGGCTACATTAACACATTGAAAAATTAAACAAAACACGAGTCCAAAACTAAGCAAAAGCATGCAATCTCTGGGTTAAGAAGTCTTAATCGTGTATTTTTATAGCTACATTTTAAACTTCCATTGTCCAACCTCGGGTGAAGAGTTTTATATTGTATATAGCAACCAGTTCTCCTTTTTTTTTAATTAGTGTGGATTTTTTCTAGTTTGTGCGTTCATCTCTCGCCAACTTCTTTTCCCCATACTTCATGCGAAAACATCTACATCTGAAAACACTGATTCACTTCTCCATTTCCCCCCTGCCAACAGGGTAAAAAGGTCCCTATGATCTATGCATGGTTTTGCTTCCCGTGCAGTCATACTTACATTTTGAGATCTGGCTACTGAGAAATCAGTTACTAAAGTGCAGCCACACAAGAACAGAAGCTATTTATATGCTGTTTCTTACGAGTTCAGGGTCCAAGGGAAAGAATGTGATTGTTTTACGCAGAGCTAAGACAAGGATGTATTTTCTTCCAGAAAGAGCATGATTTGGCAATTACTTAGAGTAAGAGAAAATAATTAACTTCATCATCCATGGCATCGCTGGAAATACAAGCCAATTAATTTGTAATACCTGGGCTGCTTCTGATCTCTGCCAAAAAAAAGACTGGCACTACTTTATTATTCCTTTTCTTTCGCATCCTATATATATTGTATGCTTGGGGGTATTTGTATTTGGTGCTCGTGCTGAAGAATAAATTAATAATTCTGACCCTGAACTGTTCCAGTATTTGTCTTAGAGATGACTGTTAGAAAGCAAGTGGAGGCTTGAAATGAAAACATCCCTTTTCAGAAGGATGCTTGCTAAACACCCCTACAGTAACTGAATCCTCTTGACATGAAAACATAGCCAGATCTCGTCCACATCATAGTTCATATACAAGAAGTCATTTTATTAATCTGATAAGCTAAACGATGCTTACTGAAGCTATTTACAATTACTGTAACAAAATTCAGAAAGCTAGACTTTTAGCCTAGGGTGTCAGTGGTATCTCAAGCTACGCAATGCAGCTCTTTACTGGGCTTATACAATTTAGAATTTAGTGCAGCAATCTTCCCGACTCTTAAACTTCAAAACAGCATAGTTATATGTAGTAGCCATCATGTAGATCAGCTGGTGGAAGAGAACAAAATACAGGAGAGTAAGATACAACAAGGTGACGGCTCAAGCCCACTTTGGGCAACTGTTGACACGTTTACAACAGACGTTATTCTCAGCTTCTTCCAGGGTGAAGATGCAAGATAAATAACCTGCCATTTATCCAGGGAGGATAACCCAATACACACCTAGGGCTATTTTTGTCAACAAATTGTGAGTGTTACACCTGGGTTTGGCTGGCAACGAGGTTAGAAGCTGGTGCTAAAGGAAGTGTTAGACATAGGAAGCAAGTCATCTTGTTAACGTCCCTTCTCCCAGCTGCTACCTGTAACTGGCATTGCAGGGTTGGACTAGTCAATCTGCCTGGGTCCAGACAAAAGAAACCAAGAGGTTACAAGTGATTGATCAAATAAACTACAAAAGTGAAAATAAGTAGTGGATGTAAAACCAGAAATAGTGGATAGAAGTAGGATTTTCAAAGGACATAGGAAGAATTTTTTTGCTAAGGATGGGAAAGGTGGGTTGAGATGACTTCTTAAAGCAGAAGTTGGGGACCTGCTGACTTGCAATGATTGAACCATAGCAGCAACTAATGGTGATTACAGATCACCCTTCTTAATGTCTAGTATCACTATTTTTAAGATATGCAAAATTTAATCTTAAAGCATCTTAAACCTGAAAGGAACATGTTACACAATAAAACAACAAAAAACATTACCCACCAATGCTATGACAGTGGCACCAGCTCCAGCACAAGCCACAATGAACAGGTGGTAAGACATGTAGAACTAGAGAAAAAAACATGTTAAAAAAATTGAAGTACTTCATTAGCATAGTATAAAATCCATTTCAAGTGTTCTAGAGAATAATAAGACCATCTTTGTAGCAAGGTAGGTAGCAAGCAAAGCTTTAGAAGACAAAAATGTTCTGAAATAATTTGAGGGCTTTTTTTGGATGCAGTAACAGTTATTTCAGTGTTGCATTTAAAGCAATCTCTTCGTACTATTAGTATGCGTTTTCTCCAAAATGTTTCATCAAGTTATTTATTACAGGGTGCCCAAGTGACTTTAGGCAAAAGCTGCACACAGGTTATGTCTCTGTACCTCATTCGTGTTGCAGATGTTCTCTAAAATCGGGCCACAGGCTTTGCCAGGTACAGCATTCCAAGGGATAATACCTGAAATACCACAGCAAAAGAAACCACAAATTTCAGCAATCAACACACTTTCTGTTCCTGTCTCATCTTTTCCACCCACTTGCCAGTTGTGTTCCCATTCTGGGCATCTGCACGTTGACCAGTGCAGCTTTGATTTGGCAGAAGGAATTAAAACAACTCAAGTTGTGCTGTCTCCTCACACCGAGGCTTGCTGCCAAGGCATGTTCTCAGATGTGGTTTTCCCATATGGGAGCCAAACAGTTGGTTGGGTTTTTGCACTTTGGGTCCAGTTGCATACTGCCTACTCCCCCACTCAGCAGTGAAGAGAGAATCTGCATCTCAGAGGTACTTGGCACCTTTCAGGATAGCACTTACTAGATTAAGTTCTACTTGAACAAGTAACTACTGTAGAAGAGTGTGAATATGGAGCTAGAGGGAAGAATGACAGGATTCTTTTTTTTCTGATATAGTTCCAATAGGTAAAAAGCATCAAGTGAGCAAGAAAATTCAATCTGCTGCACCTCACATACCCCCAATTACTTTTCTTACAAGACTGAAAGCCTGAAGAGTCCACAAGATCTAGCAGATTTAAAATAACCTAAACTTTTAGGCCTGTAACAGATGTAAAGCTTAAGCAAAACCCATTTGAATTAAGAGAAATCAGTTTGCCTCTCCATACAACCCAGCTGGTTGGAATTAGCAAGTCTATAACGGGCAGGTCATTGAAATTATCTTGGGATGGTACAGCTTTCAAAAAGATTTTATAGGATTTACTTTGAAGTCAGCTTCTTCTCTGCAACTGCAATATATAATTGAAGCCTTTCAGCTACTGCTTCCACCCAAAAATGTGAAGACAGTTCAGTGACACTAGTCGACTGTTAAGGAGCTGCTCTCTCCCATCATGCATTGAAACCCAAATGATTTTGCCCTACACAGCACTAATACAGCCACAAAGCAACCAGGAGAAGCAAGAAGGTGGAGGAGCACATCTCCCTGCACTCCCAGGCTTTGCCACTGAAGGGAATGTTTTCCCAGCCTCTTGCTGTCAGCTGCTAAAATAGGATGCAAACAACTTGCTTTTAAAATTGGTGTACATTTTCTTCTACTGCACTTACCTGGACAGGAGAGCAAACCAAAGCTTTCTTACTTTTTCAACTCTGAATCCGTTTTCTCAGCTTTGAAAGACTTAGTCCAAAGAAAGAAACATTCCTAGAAAATGCTTGCTAAAATGAAGCCAAAAGTAATGGTGACAAAAGCTCTTTTGCACAAGGGAAGCTGAAAAGATTAACTTCAGGAAAAATTCACCTTTAGGAATGAACTACTTGAAAAGCCTGACCCTATTTTAAGATATTGTCCTACCTCTCTCAGGTTGCTGTGTGTCATCAGAAAGCAGCATTAACTTACTGTTAGTTAGGGCAAACTCTTTATTGCAAGTTTTTGGTTTTTTAACTGAAATTAATTATCAGAGCCAAGTTAACACCTGAACTTCATCTTTAAATGCAGAACAGCTTTCTGAAAGGAAAGTATATATGGATATGGGTCCAAAAAACACAATCTGGTTATCTGTTCCTCAGCCCTGTTTCCAAGCAGTTTATTTTGAGGCTTATCTATTTTCAAACTTAATCTTACAGTATTGGAAATTGCTACAAAATCATTTTAGATAAATGACTTGCCAGTTCAGTTAAATTGATTGCATCTGGAAAGAGATCAGTATAATGTGAATTAATTAGAAAAGTAACAGCACATTCAGAGATAGAAGATGCTTTTGCATCTGATTCATCTGATAAGGCTGAGACAAAAGTACTGAAGACAGAGCAAGGAGAAAGGCTAAAGCATTTAATCAGGATTAAAATGAGTACCGTATTGCCTGATGTCCACGCAGATCTGGTCCCCTGGAACTGTCACATTTGCCTGAAAAGATTTGATGACTTCGCAAGTTGACCATATGTTATAGAACATAAAGACAGGCACAGCAGAGAAGCCGAAGACCCCAAGCCAGGCCACTCCAAGCACATAGGTGAGGAAAACAAACTGGGCAGAGAAAAAAACACAAGCACTTTTCACTTACTCTTTGAAAAGATTACTTGAATTTTCCTTAAAAGTGCTTCAAAATAATCTTTAAGCACACTTGCAGAGTTCAAGTAAAAAAACATTTGATTTCCAAGCACACAGATTCAGTATTCTCATTGTTTGCAAATACTTTGGTAGTTTAAGTGCTACTGAGAAATAATTCAGACATTTCATTCTTCATCAGCCTGCTCGAGTAAACAGCTTTCCCCCCTGAAAGAGCAGCACATTGATTCCTCCAGATTCTCAGCTGAGCAGAGATGCTGGTTGTAGGCTCAAACTCAATACAATTCCAACAAAAATCAATTCAAGGGTTTTTTTTAATTAACTAGAACATACTAGCATTTCTATACAATTTGCAAATTGAAACAATGGAGTGAATCAATGTTCACACAGCTTTCCTATGCTCCCTGATTTATTGAAACCAATTTGGAATGTAACATTTGAAAATACCTATTCTTGCAAATGTACCACGACCATTAACAGCAGATCAGAAGGATTCAATTAATCTAATACACATTGCCAAGAAGAAAATTAGTTACTTCACCTTAGAGAATCATGGATTTGTCCACTGAAAGTTGCTGGTTTGGGTTTGCTCTTTGTTTTAAAAACTAAAAAATATTACATACATTTTCCTGGGTCAGATTATAAGGTGTGGCACTGATTGCTTTGGAGACCTCCAGCTTCCTCCTCCCACTGGGCTCCTTCCCTTTTCCCCTCTTGAAAGTTTTATGGTGAAACAGTAGCTCTGGCATCAGTTCCTAGCTCCCTCCTCCTGGTGAGACTAGAATTTGGATCCTACTTGGAAAGTGGGGGAATGCTGTGACATCTTTGGTGCTTTCTTCTCACCATGAGCTGTAGCTGTTCTCTTTTAACTGTAGGTGGGTTGGAAAGGCTTTACTTCCAGTGAAGTACTAGTGCCCTACTATCTTACTCAAAACTTGTGTGCCAGAGAACAATAGCAAGAATGGAAAAGCCTCTCAGGGGGGAGGTTGTCTCAGCCTGACCCAGAACTAAGAGACTGAACTAATGCTGCACTGGTGGAAATTTACATGCTCATAGGTTTTTGTCCAGACACACTGAATAGTCCTGCAAAAGTTAGAGCAAAAGCTAACCAAATGGTCAGGTTTCAGTCAATGAAGGTGGTGTGTGGGGAGGTGGAAGTGCTTGCAAAACGATAGCCCATAAAACCCCAGCTAGACTTTAATTTATTACAACTCAACTGAAATACACTATTTCATACTAGATAGTGCCATATACCAGACCTGTACATTTTGTGCAAGAATTGAGAATCCCCTCTTGGATTTTGGGAAGGACCAAGTGGCTCAGACTAAAGGACTTCTATAGATATACATCCAACGTGGGTTCACAGACGTGTATGGGGAGGTGTGCACGAGAGGAAGTGCACAAAGCCTTTAACTCCTAAAATAGCCAGGAAAAAAACACCCTAACTCTCACATTTAATGTGATGACTGTGGGAAATGGCTACTCTGCATTACCAGAGCCAACACAAATAATTTAGGGAAGCTGGAAATCTGTCTTCTGTAATAACATCATGCAAGATGGGACTGCCTTTCAGGACCTCACTCAGTAATGTAACAAAGAAAGAAGTAGAGGAGCTCTTGATCAAAGAGGCAAAAAAACCCTGCTCACTGTACATTCAAAAGCTTATTGCCCATACTCAGCTGCAGTCACTGTTAAATACCATTATCTCCTTGCAAACCTTGTTCTAACACGGGCACTTTTGCTGTCACCAAACACTGATGTCTCTTACCAGAGCTCCAAGCCATTACTCAGCTGGTAAATTCTCTCCTTCATTGTGTGGGCAAATATAGGCAAACAAGAAAACACATTTTTCTGTCTTATTTCCACTTGCCACACTGGTATTTGTATAAGCAGCTGACAATCATGTGCCTGCAGCTACTCAACTGCACAAGCAATTGTCTGCACTGATGAGATGCACGCATGGGTATGTTTCTACTGTGTTTTGGATCTTTGAAAAGCACTGCTTTAGATCGAATTTTGCTCCTCAGTGAAGACCATGCTTGCTAGAAAAAGAGTGAGTGAATAGTTGCTTAACTGCAAAATGATGAGATGCCTTATTCTTATTAGCTCTTGAAAAATTCAGTAAGTACCCAACAGCACAGTGGAAACTTGCTAACCCTCATGAAAATAAACATGTATCTCTTTTGTATTTAACCAGCTGAAAGTACATATTTTTTAAGTACAGGATATAGACTGTATATTAAAATGCAACAATCACATCAAAAGCCTCTTCTCTTTTCACCCACACTTTCCCGTGGGCGATCTGTCATACTGCTTAGCTTCCTCCATAACTATGAGCTTTGAATTCAGATTTTCAGTAATAGCTTTGAAATCCAGTCTCAGAAACATAGTTATGGCTGTTCTTGCAGAGTGTGCCCTAGGGGACAACGTGGGTGAGAATCTGAAGTTTTATTTTTAGTCAAACTTTGCTTACAATTTTGTTCTAATGCAGAAGTATACTGATGGATTGCAACTTTAAGGCTTTAAGTGTTGCAGCTGTGCAAAAAAGGCTCACAATTCTATCCATATGCCTTTTGCTGTCTGCAAATCAATACTTGATTCAAGTGCAAAGATGTTGCAAAGCCTCATTCATCCATTACTGTTTGAGGGATCACTCAAGCAGAATTGACTATGGAAGTCAGAGGCACTACAGTTTGGTATTTAAATAGCTCTGCAAACTACAGTCATTTTGCAGTATGCTTTTAAGCATCACAGAATCATAGAATTTAGGGGTTGGAATGGACCTTATGGATCATCTAGTCCCAACCCCCCATGCCATGGGCAGGGACACCTCCCACACCAAACCAAGATGCTTAAGGCCTCATCCAGCCTGGCCTTGAACACCACCAGGGTTGGGGCAGCCACCAATTCCCTGGGCAATCTGTGCCAGTGTCTCACCACCCTCACAGGCAAAAACCTTTTTCTAATATCTAACCTAAACTTCCCCTTGTTCCATTTGAACCCATTACCTCTTGTCCTATCATTGCAGTTCCTAACAAAGAGTCCCTCTCTGGCTCCCTTGTAGGCCCTTCAGATATTGAAAAGTTCCATGTTTAAAAGCAAAAATTTCATTTTGTCTCACACTGAGTGGTCTAAAATTCACAGTCTCCACCAACTCAGTTTAGATCAGTGGGTTCAGCTTTATGACAAGAGAGGCCAAGGTAGCACCCCAACAGTCCAACTGCAGATTCTGGATTTGATCAAGCACCCTCAAAGTTCAAAGAAGGACCAGAAAGAGGGATTGACTCTGACCACCCATGAGGAGTTAAACAATGAAGGCAGCAATATACTGTTGTTCAAAAACACAAGAGTCAAACCAAACCCAACAGGTTTTAGCTAGCAAAGTCTGCTGTTGCCATTTCTGATGCTACTCACCATTCCACTGATGCAGCGGCCACAGGCTGTCGTTTTGAACTCTCCATGCAGTTCCTTCACAGCACTTGTTGTATAAAAACCTTCTGCCAAAAGGATTATTCCGTATAAGAAGAAAAATGATGCAATGCCATAAATTACATACTGCATTAGTTGTATTCTAAAATGGAAAAGAAAAAAGAAACAATTAGATTACAGTCCTACAAAAACAAAGTCAATCCTCCTAAATCAGATGAGAGACAACTCCTTTTCCAGAAATAGTGTTCAAGGCTCCTTGGCATTTTAAGCAAGAAGGCTGCAGGAGAGTGCTGCTATGACCATCCCACTTCTCAGGTAAACAATACTGATATGCATTAGTCTTGCATCCACTTGAGCATCCTCTGTTTGTGCTGTAGTCCTTATACTGACTGGTATTAGTCACCAGGTTAAAGCTGCAGAGTTTCACGCCTCCAGTATGGAGATTTTCTTTCTCCTGTTACCGACCCTGACACCTAACTCAGGAGTGTCTGACAGGGACAACACAGGGCTTTGAAATGGGAAAGCCTAGAGCTGAGCTACTGGCTGAGCTACCAGGCTTGGTGTTGATTCCTTTGGCTTAGGGAAGGGGAGCAGTCCATGAAATTCACTGGTTCCACCTGTAACATCCAGCTAATGTATGTTTGCAAAAAATTTCTAAACTCAGCAATATTTGTCTGATACGAAACTCAGCAAATGTGTAGTGACTTCTCCTGAGGAGGAATAGTTTGCTCTACAGCCTAGAGAGGTACTTCCAATTAAGCAGGTAGTTTCAGTGCTCTAAGTCACAGCAGTGTGAAACTCCACAAAATCTAAATAAATTTTAAAAACCCAGAAAGAATTATTTAGGAAATGCTTCCAATTTAGGTACTCTGGAACCAACCAGGGGAAGAACATCTCAGGGCACAGGTATAAGCAGTACCCTTTGATATTACTTGAGAAAGTTCTCAATTCCTTAAACATCTACCATCTGCAATGACACTCTTACAGTGTTTTTCCTCTAGCTAGAATAGGCAAATGGATAGAATAATTTTGAAATCTTATCAATCAGATTCAGTATTGTTTTGGAGGACCAGAATGCCAGATCTTCCACACAACACTTCTGGTCTGCAAGAGTCAGACTGTATTAGTAACACAACTTCCCCAGACCTTCTTTAAAGTAATTTGATTGTTGGAATGGTGGATGAAACTATTCACAGAACCGAGAGGTTAATTTTATACATCCATGTTACCAGTTTTCTAAAGATAAACATATTTTCCTCAGATGCTATTTTCCAATTCTCACCACTTGCCACTAAGTAGCTGCTAGCATAGGTCTCCAAAGAGCATATGCATGTTTAAAAGGAAATTGATTACTACCACTTATATAGTTAAATGTTATCCTTGTATCAAAATAGGCTATTGCTCATTTAAAATTCTATGTAGGAAGTGGTATGTTTGTTTTCCAAACTGATTAAAAATAACAGAATAAATCTTTTGCACCTGTGCTGTAAAGCATGAAAAAATTAACTCAGGATTTGAGAGTACAGAAGAATTCATTTCACCATCACTAATAGTCTAGGGGACACTCAATGCATGTTACCAGAAAATAGGAATAGGAAAACTGGTTAAAAAAAGTCTATTCCAAAGGATGTCTTACTAGAATATTTTCACTTATTTTATGTCTCTGTAGCCCTAAATTATTTGCCCCTTTTTAATGCTTCTTCTCCCTTGCTACCTCATAAGCTCCACAGATCCCAAGCCCTCAGCTGCTTTGGTAGGAATTATGCATTTCCCCAGCTGCTGATGCTGACTTGACAAGAAACATTGTCAACAATTCTCCCAAATGTAAAACTTGCTGCCTGTTATGGCTGCTTTTGAAATTTCCTCTATTTTGCTCAAACGGAAAGACTGATACAAGCACAGAGTGTTTTGTTACTTGGTTGCTGAAGAACAGCTGCTGACAGTTTCTCACTAAATGCTATGGCTAACTGCAGGGTCCTCATGGCTCATGCACTGGAGCTGGGGACACACTGCCCAGCCAGGGGCTGGGGTGGGCAGTGCTGGTGTGTGGGGGACCCTGGCAGGGCTCAGTCCCAGAGAAGGTCTGGGCAGAGAGGTCCTGTGCTGGGGGAAAGCTCTGACATGGTGCTGCAGGACTGACAACAGTGACAGGAGGGTATGCAGCAAACTGTCAGGCCTACGCCTGCAAGCATGTAGAGGGAGTCAGTGACAGCAGAAATGAAAAAGGAAAAAAGGAGAATTAAGAGTGCTGAGTTGGGCCCCGATACAAAAGTTTTCAAATACCACCCTAAAAGCTAAGGCTTTGGGGCAGATAAGCAAAACACACGTGCCTTGCTCACTGCCTACATATGTGTGCCATGCCCAAAGTGCTAACCACATGGGCTCCCTCTTCACAGACACACGTGGCTAGCACAGCAGACTCAGCTGCCTTTCCTCACATTGCCACCCCCACCCTGGGATGGAGACGCCTCCAGGGCCATCCACATGCTGGCAAGGAGCAGCCAGGAGGCTGGACTCAAATCCCATCAGCATCCCAACACCAGTGTGCAGTTGTTTTGAGTAACCACTTGCACAAAATTCCTCACTGCTGACAGATGAAAGCCTTTCCAAAGCCTTGCAGCTCGGCTGGTGGGGCTACATAAGGCCCAGCACCACCAGCCCAGAGCCAGGGACCTGCACATCCCTCAGTGTCACAGGGAGCACAAGGCTCGTGCTGGTGGGGCTGGCTGAGCTGGACCCTGATACAGCCCTCCAGGCCTCCTTCTGGCATCACAGAGAGGTCTCATGAACATAAAGCCCCAAATATTTTACCAGTGGTTATGTCCAAAGGCGACGTTTGCAGAGCAAACATTTAAGTTTTCTAGTCTTTTCTCTTTCTTTGTTCTTTTATAGCAGTCCAGCTACTTCTGAGGGGGGATGGACAGAACCATGCTTCCCTGTTATTCCTGTCATCCCTTCCAACTGTATGTCATCAACGAACAATAAATCTACACTCAGATTAAAATCGTTATCCCTTGTGCTGTCACAACAGGCCCTGGTAAAACGTCTGTCTCGTAGATCCCTTTTAGATAGTGGAAGGCTACTATAAGGTCTCCCTACAGCCTCCTCTTCTCCAGCTCAACCCCAACTCTCTCAGCCTGTCTTCACAGAGAGGTGCTCCAGCCTTCTCATCATCTTTGTGGCCTCCACTGGACTCTCTCCAACAGGTCCATGCCTTACCTGTGCTAAACTCTGAGCTGAATGCAGCACTGCAAGTGGGGTCTCACCAGAGCAGAGAGGCAGAATCACCTCCCTTGACCTGCTGACTATGTTTTTTATTCATGCAGCTCAGAATACACTTGGCTTTCTGGGCTATGAGCACACATTGCTGGTTCATGTTCAGCTTTTCATCCACCAGCACACACAAGCCCTTCTTGGCAGGGCAGCTCTCCATCCCTTCATCCGTTAGCCTGTATTGACACTGGATATTGCCATGAACTGCACTAGGCCTTGGTGAACATCATCATGTGCACACAATCCCACTCTTCAAGGCAGTGAAGGTCCCTCTGGACCTTCCCTCAGGTGAACAAACCACACTGCTTAGCTTGATGTCATGTGCAAACCTGCTGAGGGTGCACTCAGTTCCACTGTCTATCACACTGACAAAGATATTAAACAGTACTGGTCGCAGTATAAACAGGTTTAGCAAGATATACACTTTGGTTCTATGTGAACACCAAAAAAACTACCAAGTGCTGCTAGAAAAACAAGCAACCTAATACTTGGGGATGGAGACTGAGGTGTGAATCCATCTCTACTCATTCAGCACGAGGGTATTATGATGAATAATGAAAATGGGAGGCATACTTACACTTCACTCAGCAAAGCATGGTCGCTGGCAGTCGTGGAGAAGTGCTGCTCGAGGATAGACACGGTTCCCGTGAGCGCCACGTGGCCACAGCCACAAAACAACGCTACCCCCGAGAAGCAGAGAATGGTTGCCACGAGCGAAGCATATGGCACTCCTCCTAGGCACTTAATGCAACATTCAAAGCAACCTAAGCAGGAGAGAGAAAGCAAAAGAAACGTCATGAGCAAAAAGCAAATTATGAGGAAAAGAATATTTGTCCTCCAGTTGGTAAAAGCCACAGGGATTAAAAGGCCCAGGCATTGACATGCTAAGCAAAAAATCTATAGGTGGTACAAGACAGCATCACCCTCTAAAGCAGTGACCTACAGCTCTGTTGGTATGGACTCAAAGCCCAGAAAGTGGGCTGAGTGCTCCTGTCTTTACAGGATCAAGAGGAGATCGATGAGACAGCCTATGAAATGGAAAAAGCAAAAAAATCACTGTCTAAAGTGATCTATTGCAATTCAGCTGCTCATACAGAGCTTCCCACGTTTCAGCATTACCGACAGCAGGAGCAACAGCTATGCTGGCAACATTCTGGGAGCCAGAGAAGCACATACTCAAGACAATGAGGCCTTTTGGAAAAGCAAGAGATATTTTGCATTTTTGTGGAAGAGGAACACCTTTAGGTCTGCAAAACTTAACTACCCTACACTCTCCAACAGGTCCCAAATTATCTTTTTGCATAAATCCATATGAGGTTATAGGGATACAGATATTTTAACAACAGAAAAATTGAATGGGGACCTAAGAGTAACAATTTTGATTGAGGGCAGCTGTATGAAGCTGTATGACACACACAATGTATTTCCAGCTTTATAGGATACACTGGATTTACAGAGATCCCTGAATACAGTCTGCAGTAGCATAATCAACTGAAATGCATCGTTTAAGTGGTCTGAGTTAACAAAACACCCCCTAGAACTGCTGTTTGTATGAACACTGTAATAAGGAGGTTGCTGCTGAATTGCCAGGTTCCTTCCAACCGCGTGGCCTGAAAACCCATCTGCTTACAAAGCTGGGAAATGTAAATCGGAAACAAACACAGCTTTTAACTGTGCTATAATGGTAATGGCAATCCATACCAATTCATTACTTCAGGGTGATGGCATTAAGCTGTCTCCATTAATGTGCATTTCATACAACTGCGCAAAACACAAACCATTAAGGCAGCGCTTAATGGAGTGACCAGCGCTGCACGGAGCAGGAGCAGCCACTGCTTCTGCAGCAAGGAGCTGAATGGACAAAGCATTGGAAGGCAAGGAGACAGCTGGCAAACAAGTTCATCACATCACATCTTCCCGCCCAAAAAACTCCTCACAAAGATCAGCAAGTCTCCAGCCACCACAGAAGGCGAGTTTATTTTTATCCCACTCCCTTTCCCACTAATGAATGAGTTGCAGAGCAGGCACTTCTGTGAACCACTGGGGAATAATATCCATCTGATAATTGAAAGCTTTCCCATTTCATAAGTGAGAAGCTCTTCTTTTAGGAAGTCACTAGCAAGTGCCCTAGTCAGGCTTAAGAAGCTATCATCATCGAAATGACTTATGAAACGCCACTTCACTAACTGCAGACAAGATTTAATTGTATAGAAACAAGCCTGGGAAGCTTTTATAGTCTAGTCCACAGCTGGAGTCCACTCGGTAGGAACTATCTTCATGGCAAAAATACTGCCAAAGGAACAAACACTGCAGCTTGGCACTGATGGGGCAAACAAAATCCAAATGCACACTATCAGAGGAAATCATCTCTGTGTTTCATTTTATCACAGAGGTCCAGAGCTGAGTTCAGACACCAGACCCTGCAGAGCAATCCTCTGTTTTGAGGAATCTGCCTGAGTGCAGCTCACAAGCCACATGAAGCAGCAGTCATACACGTGAGGCTGGCTCGCCTCCGCAGCATCTGCTCCCGGTTCAGGCCCAAACTTCCCAGAATTAATGCAAGAAATGCTTGCACCTGGTGCAGGATTAGCCATGAAGGATTATCCAAGAGTAACCATGCCTCGACCCAGCAGACAACATGCAACACACGTGGCCACAGACCCACACAAAACAAACCACCTTTCGGGCCACACTCCAAAACAGACGGTGACCAAATGCCAGATCATTGCTCAGTATGGAGGAGGCTGATCACCTCAATCATGCTGATTCCACAGATTGCTTTGCAGAAGGATCCCATCAAAGACAGGAAATAAAACCATCTGGAAGCAGAGGCAAGAGACTGACAAGATTCAAAAGAAAAGCTGCTGGTTTCAGAAAATGGGAGCAGCCAGCTTGACAAAACTAAAAACTGGTGTAGACCCATGACTGACATTTAACACCCCCTAACTAAGCACTTGTCCTCCCATACCCCACACTGCACAGACGACTTTCCAGGCCACTGGCAGAACATTCGCCCTGGGGAGTTTGTTGGATCCCTTACCCAAACACATGACAATATCTGCCACTAATCCACAGACCCTCCAACACAAGGCAAGAGCGGCAGACCCCTCTCACCTCCCACCAACTGGCAGCTGCACAGAGCATCTTTGTGGCCATACTCTTTGTCTTCCTCTACAGTCCAAGTAAAAAGGCATCACAGTATTTGGGTGGTCTTCACTTTATCAGTGCAGACCACAGCCAAGGGACACCTTGAGAGGTGTCTAAAGCAACCACATTATTTTGAGCAAGGCAGAGAAAACTGCCCAAATGTGGAACTGCAGGAACTACTCACCTTCACCACAAGACTAAGCAGGAAGCAGAGGGACTTCAGTACACCTGGAAATAGCACACAGCCAGCTTTCAAGAGCATGAAGCACCCCAAAGCAGCACATTTCCAAGAGACAGCATCCATCCATACATAGTCATTCTGTACCCAAACTGACAGCAGAGCTGCACAGCCTCCTGCCAGAGGGTAACTAAATGGGGGACACAACATCATAACACTGGAACTGCCAGACCTCCTCCCCTAAATGCCACTGTGAACACCCTTAATAAGAATAGCTTAAATCCACGCCTAACCTGAGCAATACAGCCAATTTTATCATTTTATTTGAATGCAAGCCTAAAACAGTACTGCCAAGAGCAGCTTTCAAAACCAGCTACTATTTGAAGCCTATCAAGAACTAAGAGATGCTGAACAAGCTTCCCAAACAAGCACTCAAGCAAATCAGAGGATTTCTGAAAAAAAATGAAAACTTTCCATAAAACCTGCTTTTCCGATCTCTCTTTGTAACCCCAAGTCAGCGACTACCTTCATACAGTACAACTGAAAACCCATGATGATGTCTGCCTAGTTCAGGTTCACAAAATAACTCACTAACACATTGATGACAACTGCAGGCTGAAGGCTGTGAACTCAAGCTGACAAAAACAAGTAGTATTAAAATAAGTTTAGTGCCAATTTTCTGCTAGTTTTTACTTTCCACATGGCCAAAATGCTGCACTTTTCAGCTGTATATCCACCTCCAATGTAACAGTGTAAAACGATTTAAATATGAAACTGTACAGCACAAACACACATCACTGCATCTCCCCTTTCAATGGCCATTTTGTGCAAGGCATCACTAGAACCTTTTGTGCAACTCAGCAGAATAAAAACATTTTTTGTCCTCAGGCTGGCGAGCAGCAGTTGCCATGGAGGCAGGTTAATAACAGCCCAATGATTTGCCCAGAGCTGCCTGTGATCTTGGCTACAGATTTAACACACTCTCAGAAGGAGGCCAGCTAAAACAAAGACTGAGATTATTCTCTAGGGAATGAATGCTATTAAACACACACACACACACACACAAATATTCTTGCTAAAGGACAAAAATAAAAAGAAGAGAAAGAAACAGGAACAGGCTATTCTTTTAATCTCCTGGAAGCTATCTGTCACAGGAAATTGGTAAAGGATGAACCTACATATGTGCATAAATCAGCAATTGGTTGCTTAATGTATGAACAATTATACAATCTACCCAATGATGCACAAGCTATTGCAGATATGCAGGGGCTTAGCCATGCAATTTCCCATGCCAAATGGCAATTGTGTGGCTAAACCTTCTTTGGTACTTTTAGTATGGTTTTAAGATTTAAACTCAGAACAGCAAGGTAGTAGAGAATTAATGGATAGAGGTCTTAAAATAAAAATGAAAAAGAAAGAGTCAATTCTTAGATTCTAACTCGTCCTACTAAGGTCAAATTTGTGGTTTGGAAATGACAAAAGGCAACACCATAGGATCAAGTAGCTTTCTTGAGTATTCCTAGGGCTTGCTCTAGGAAGTTCACATTGGTTCTTGAAGTCCAGACTTGAAAAGCTGAGACAGAGAGATGTTCACAAAGCCATCCCTCAAAGCAAAGCATGGAAAACATGATGTAAAGGAAGAGTGTCCACACCTCCTGGACAGAAAACCAGCCTGTCCTCTAATGCCCCAAACTCCTGCTAGGTTGAACTAGTGCCTCAATGTATCTCAGGTACTAACCATTGAGCCCATAGTCAAGGTCAAGGAACAAAAAAGGAAAACAAGAAGGAACAAAGAAAACCTGAAGGGAGGTTTGAAAAGCTCTCCATTTCAGGGACCTAAACCTCCAGGCTCCTGTGGCCGTTTTCTGAGTTAGTTCCCACTCTGTTTTCCTTAGAAGTTGAGTTTCTTCCCCTCCATAAATCTGTCTTGCTGTTCTGAAAGATAAAGCAATGGCCACCATTTTTTCCTCATCAGTCACTTCCTCTAATTGTGTAATGCATTTTTAGAACTCCAGGCATGTTGGACACCTGTCCAGTTAACGTGTCATAGAAATTACACATCATCTTCCACCACAGAACCACAATCTCTGTTGGTTTCAGCACCACAGATGAGGGAGCAAGAGGGGAGGAACTGTTTTAACAAAAAGAAGGTTGCAAGAAATCCAAAGAAAGAAAAAGCACTAGATAACACCTTAAATTAAAGCACTAGATAACATCTTAAATGCAGCCATTGCATGTAAATCAGGCTCATTATTACGCATCCACAGGAGGGTAGTGTTGGGATTATTACTTCCAATCCACAAATAAGTGCAAGAGGAGAACTCAGTACTTTACATTCACCTCCTGCTTCCCCAGTGCTGAAGATTACCCAATGCCAAGTGTGCTTAATACCATCGGAGTCCTAAACCACCAAGGAATTTTGTCAGAAAGTGAACTTTA